TAAGCCCTCACCCTCTGGATGTGTGACAGGGGACGGTGATATTGGGAAGTATTGAAAATGGTATTGCCAACAGGGACTGCGAGTGTTCTCTCTGGGACATATGTATAAGCATCCCTTGGAAGATGTGGCGATGTCTGTCGGGATCTATAAAGCCCGCAGGTCGGTCACCCTTGAACTAACGAGCGGGGCTCGCCGCTCGCAGGAAAGGCTAAATTAACCTGAATATCTAATACACTTTTAATTTTAGGCAATCAATCTCATTCGTACTTACTGAGAGAGATTTCGAGTAAACTAGCTATATCAGGTAAAATACTGGAGATAATTCCCTTCTGAAAGACTAGGGATATTATTATTTATTTAAATTTGGATAAAGTTATATATGTCTACATGTACATCGTCTACATGTACATCAGGCTTCATATTCGTTGGAGAGGTTTTGGGAAAATTAAAGGGAAGTTGAGGTTGTCGAACTGTCGCGAGAAGCTCGGGGCGAGTGATGCAACAATGAAAGACACATGGTACATTAGTTCGCGGCGATACAGAATAACTCTACCATTGGGTGAGAACTAAAACCTGAGGGCCATTGCGTGGAATAAAACTGGCCCACACTTGTAGTGGTAATATGGGCTGAGTCGGTCTGAGATATTTTGAACGTGATTCCAAGGAGGGTGAGGTTATCATCCGCAATTCTGTTTCGGAGCGAAGTTGGGGGCTGTCCGATACCACACCACATAACTGATGTATTTGGAATATCCTAGCTAGCCATAGCGGGAAGTATTATAGGTGGTACCCGAAGTCTCGAAGATTTGGTCTGTACCGAAATCTGGAAATAGTACGTCAGTAAAGTGATGAGACGGGGTATGGGGAACATCAATCTATCGACTAGTACTGGAATAAATTGGCGCCTGTTGTTCAAGGAGAAGGAAGCTCCCGAGATGTTCGTGGAGAGTCCATATGCCGTGGTAATCATGCCGATCCTATAGTTGTTGTAGAAAGTCCGGTCCAATTGGGGATGATTAGGGCCCACCAGAAGACGCCTTATCAGAGAACTGATACAGGCAAAGTGGCTGGACGTAAAAGTCTTATCACCAGGGCACACAGAACAGATGTATCACGGGAACGTGTTGGTTGCTATCATGGCACAAAGGCGGATTGGAGTGTGTTCGCGGCAATAGGTAAAGCTATCATGGGATGGCTTGTCCCGGTCCGTGGTGCAAAGTTATCTCCTTATACGTCGATAGTAGTATTGGCGGCGAGCCTTGCCTGCTATCTCCTTGGTTGTGAGACGTTGTGTGGTATTATGTCGGATCTGCTCGCGGAGCTTAATAAGTTCTTTGTGTTGAGGTGTGCACCCGCCCTTTGATTCTAGATAAGCGTAAATACTGGACGGGAATTTGTCCGGAGGTCTGTTACGTATTCAAGCGGGTCTCGTAAGTGGGGCGAGTGGGTTTGTACTGTTGATTGAGTCAAGATGTAGTCCCAGGCAGCCACCAAGGTACTCCGCAAATTGGCGTGCTGGAAGTAAGCAACAAAAGCGAAGAAGACGTATGCGCTGGTATGTGAGTATTGAGAATATAGTGCCAGCTATGATAGCTTCTGCTTGAATTAGTGCTGAGTTGTACTGCTCGTACAACGGCTTTAACGCGGCATGCCAAATAGGTGAAGCCCATGCAATGATATTCAGACCATGAAATAATGAATGCCTTGAATATTTCCAGCCGATTTCGCGAATGGCCCCAGCTAAATCCGTGAACCCCCTACGCCCGGAAAGACACTGTAGCCTGGAGTAATGCTGCCACGATATGGACCATGTATTTTCAAAGTCGATACCCGGTATGCCCCTGGAACAGTTGGAATCCTAAGTATTTGGAAGGCTGTGGACAGTTGTCAGAGAATTCCGCCGCCATAAGCATGGAAGGGATAAGTAGGCGTCTGTTGAGAGTGTTCGCATTTGGGGATCGTACTAGCGTTGGCGTGATGGGATGTCCTTTGATACGGAGAAGCGGTACCTCGTGCAACATACTCGACGATCTCTTTCAGAGCTTAAGAATCCCTTGTTCCGGACCGGATTGTCGACCTCAATCATCGATCGCGTTCAGGAAGGGTTGCAACTGAACAGACTGCGGAGCCTGGATGCGCGTGTCATCTATAAAGAGATAGGAGAGGAGGATTTTCGGCCGAAATTGTGCAAGCGCAATAGCCAGCGAGTCTATATAAATAATAAAAAGCTGTGGGCCGACAATCAAACCTTGGAGTATGCCATTCGTTCTATGTCTGAATAGAGGGGAAAGCTTCCCACGATACGTCACCCGTGTGGGAACATTCTCGAACAATGCGCGAAGATAAGAAATCTAGTTCTCTGGCATTCCAGCGTGGCGCAACAGCATTCACATGCGCGGGAGAACCACTTTATCGTATGCTTTGGTAATGTCAAGACACACATCATTCCAGGCATCCTCGGATTGTGTCCATCGCGGCGTATGACAGGAGTAGCGTGATTCAAATACAGCTTGAGTTGTATGGGTGGCTGATCCGGGGTGATTTGTTATCAGCTGTAAGAAGCACTTCTCAAAGTGCGTCGAACAACTGCGTTAATGTTATCGGTCTGAAATCGGCAGGGGATGCAATATCCGTGTCTGCTTTCTTCGGATGGGCTGTCAAGAGGGCACGATTGAGAGCTTTAGGGAATGTACCAGCCATTAGGAGAGCAGAGAATTCCTCATCCAGGATGCTAATAAGTTGGCTGACAGGGTCAGGACGTCCCATAGTTGGGGGTTCAGCTGATCGTTCTACTGCGGCTTTAAGGAGAAGGGTATGGATAGTATTTAGACCAGAACCCTTGTTTGGATAGCGCAGTATTGCCTCCAACACCATCTCCGAGTGAATAGATGCATTCGATGGAGGTGTTGGTGCTGTGTCCGGTGGGATGACGTGTGGGTTAGCTGAGTTGAAGAGATCTTGGTAGTAATCCGTCAGTGCAGCGCCC